TGGTTTTCGTTTATGTTTAAAAATAATAATTTTAACCTTATATAACCAATGAGTTAAGAATATATTGTTTTATTCTATAGACACTTATGAAAGTTAACAGAATGAATATGTTTATATTAATATTAACAGGAATAATCAATTCAAAAGTTAATTCAAAATTGTTAAATTTTTCCAGTTTGATCTTCCGTACCAAAATGATCTCACAATTGTAAAAATTAAAATAATATTATTTAAAAAAATTTTCACACTCGAAAATATCATTAAACTTAACATTTTTTTTTAATTCTGAAAATACAACTTTATTTGATAAAAATGATCATTTTGTCATCAGCATTCGAAAGAATTTTAGAATCACCATGAAATGTTTTAAAAAGACGCAACGTACTTTTTTTTGTCAAATCTTAAAGGAAAATATGTTTTGTTAAATTATGCGAACACCAATTATTCTAAAAATGTTTAGTTTTATTGAACTATGTTTGTAAGGTTTCGGGACAAATTTTCAAAATTTTCACGGTTGATATTGGAAAACGTTTTACTGAGATAATGTCTCCAGGCACATTTCTCCATAAAACTATAAAAAATATTCATCATCATCTCCAATTTTAAAAGTATTTACAATGTATTGAAAACGTAGCAAACGTATGCGTTACTAAAAGTTATGCAGTAAAATAAATCATGCTACATAAACTGGCTAAATTCCGACAGAACCAATCATCAAATGCTTAAATTTATATATATATATATATATATATATATATATATATATATATATATATATATATATATATCGTCTGATGATCGCAAGAGCGTGGAACACAGAGTTACAAACTCATATCCATACGACTAAACATATTAGCTCTATCACTGATACAGAGTGTTTTCCAGTAATTACTACGCATATATAATATATATATAAATTATAATATATACATACATATATATATATATATATATATATATATATATATATATATATATATATAAACGTGTGTGTGTAATACTTAATTGACAAATAAAAATATTTCGACAATGTTTTTAATAAAATAACGACAACATTATAAAATTAATTGATAACACGTGCTGTTGGTCTTTTAAAAACATCCCAACATGGAATCGCAAACACATTTCTTCTTGCACAGTCTAAGATTTCTGCTGGTTCCAAGTAGACTGTGAAATTGGAGAGCCGAATTCGAATACCACTCGCTTTCGCTACATCCACTTACGGTCAAATGCCCTTCGGAAAGACATGAATCTGTCTCTTCTATCTCCCCAGCTATGGATAAATAACAGAACAGACTGGGCCATGCAACATTGATTGTTAGAGTTTACACACTTTCTTAGCCCCACAATCCCCAGCCAAAAATAAACTATAAGAATATTAAAAAAAACTTAATTTAAATTTCATAAGATTCCCTTTGTCTTTGTACATTCAGTGAAACATGTATTAAAAAATGATTGCTACCCTAATATACAATATATATATGTGTGTGTTTCATTGAATATGACTGACAAGTCACTGCGATTAAACGTCATTTTTAATTATGAAACTTATTCAAACGAAAATATCAGGAAATTTCCTGGTCTTTATTCGTCATTATAATCTTAACAACATACGGTACGCAGCTGGCATCACGTTGACGGTGATCACAAAAATGAACTCCTGGGCAACGTGGTAAAGAAAAGAGGGAAGAACGGACGAAGCATCAACTGTCAGAAATCAGAAAGAATGTTTGTCAGCAAGAGGAATACTCCAAGATACGAGCCACAAATTGGAAATGTCAAAACCAAACAAGTACAGAATTTAACTGACTGGAAAATGTTCTAACAAAAGCCGGATAATATGGTACTAAAATCCGAAGCGTATTGGACTAGCGAAAAATGCTTTTCGAAAGCTAAACAAAGCATTAAGAAATAGAAAAATTTTGTCAGAAACAAATAAAAGAACCGCTACGTAATATTAATAGCAAAGTCTTGAGTTCCAAGGGGTTTCTTTTATGTGCTTTTGACATTCATTATTACACTCTGTTTTCCTTTATCGCTCCCCTTCTTCATAGGAATGTAACCTATTAGAAATCTCTCTCTCTCTCTCTCTCTCTCTCTCTCTCTCCCTCCCTCCCTCCTTCTCTCTTTGTTTCTTTCTTTCTTTCCCTCTCTCTCATTTGAAAAAACTTTGTATCTGGTGATTTTAATACCCATCATGCCAAGTGATTTAATTATTCTAATACTACTGATATTGCCAATATTCAGACTTCCAATTCTTCCATCGCTCACCCTCTCAGTCAAATAATGTATTTCCCCAATCGTTTCCCTAATTCTGTTGGGCGTTCTGGTGTAACGGATATCAGCTCGGAGTGAGAACTCGGAGAGCCGAGTTCGAATTCCAGTAAAGTCGTTAGATTCACTTACGCACAAATACCATTGGGAAAGTTATGAATCCTTCTCTTCTCCCCCAGCTATGGATTAAATAACAGACTGGGTTATTTAGCCTTGGTTGGCAACCAAGAAAGAAATAGCAACCTACTGCGGCAAAAATCTGGCTCGTCGGTCATATATCGAAAGATACATGATCGTCCAAGTGTGTATCACGTATGGCACATAACTGACTGAATACTTTTGATCAACACGTGTTGTAATCATATACATATCTCCACCTTATAAATAGCAATTGATACAGGTGGATACTAAACAAATCCTAGGCTTGAAGACGAAACTAGTAGAGAAATAGCAGTGAATAGAATTTTTGAAATAATTAAGTCTTCACTACTATTTCTCTAGTAGTTTTGTCTGCAAGGTTAGGATTTGTTTAGCCTCCAGCTCTATCAACTGCTATTTATAAAGGTGGAGATTTGCATATGAATACAACATGCTTCTTTACTTGACTTTTTCCTTGCCTCCTCTCCAGCTTCTTGTCGAGTATCGCATTTTCTTGGCAATTCGGATCACGCTAAAGTATCTGTTGACATTTCGTTTCAGTCGTCAAGAAAAAAAAATCATTGCTAAGAGCTTGCTAAGGACAAGATTTCGTGAAGAGCCATGATCGCCCACGTACTTAAGGGACATGGCACATAAAGGAAAAAAATTAGCTCACTGCGGGGATACTCTCTATATAGGAGGTCCCACATACCTAGGTCGTAGGACACATAATGAGGAAAGAAGGTTTGGAAAATTTAACACTCACGGGACATATTGAACTGGAAAAGGACAGAGAGAAACAGCGAATACCATATCAAACACCCTTGATAACAGATCAGTGAGTGGTGTTACTGATTGATTTATTTTTTACGGCTTATAAACTTTTTATGTGTTATTTAAAACCGAAATACATTTCGAATTGTATGAGGCCGCTTACAGAACACGGTGTTTCCAAGTGGTTGCCATCTAAGTACTGACTGGGCTCGACGCTGTTTAACTTCCGTGACAGAATGAAAAAAGGTGTTTTCAGTGTGATTTGACCGTAGGAAGAATAGTAAAAAAGCAAACACTGCTAACTGCTATGATAGATAGGAGGCTGTGGAGAGCGCTGATCGACTACGTCCTGGAAAAAGAATTAACTAAGAAGATTAAGAAAATATTCATTGAACTTTAGCTAAAAATATCAAACACTTCTTTTCCGCCAAGACCAAATTAACCAGCTGAATAGTTTTTGTCTCACCTGTTTCTACCTCTAGTCATCTATCGAGTAAGTTTGTGCAAAAACAATCGTTTTCGTGGTTGACAGGAAATAAGTGTCGCTTTTGACTGATTGATAACCTTTTCTGGGAAAAAAAAATTGTTCTAAGTATAAAGAATAAAAAACAATGAAAATTTAGTCATGTTTGAAGTTTTAAAAGAGCATTTTCAATTTTGAAAGTTTGACATCATCACTCAACGAGATTCGTGTCACTTTTGAAACTCCAGGAAAAGATGAGCCGAGCAATTTTATTCTGTCTTCTATTTGTAGCTAATATCTCAGCATTCGTGACTTACGTAAAACGAAGTATTTGTTCTTTGCCGTTCATGAGCAACATGAATGAAATAAAACTGTTTTTTTCTTCTTTTATCTGTTCTAAAAGATGAACAGGAAAATCAAATTTTATTTGTTCTGTCCAAGTTCACATTCAACTGGACTGATTTTTTTAAAATAGAACAAATTACACAAATGATCAATTCTATATACATTATATGAAATTCTATGAAACATCTGGACGTTTCACACACACACACACACATATATGTAGTTATATATATATAGTTATATATAGTTATATATATATATAATTATATATATATATATATAGCTCTCTCTCTCTCTCTCTATATATATATATATATATATATATATAGAGAGAGAGAGAGAGAGAGAGGGAGAGAGAAATTATTGTAAATCAATACAATTATGTTTGACACGAAGACTCACTCTACACCTTTCTGACTACAGCTCAATTAGATCTCATTTAAATATTCATGGAGACCTACCGGACACTATTCGTAATATACTTGTTGATAAAACAAATATAATAGCATCATCTACATTCAAATAAAGGCTAAAAATTATGGAAGCCTTATTAATAAAAATAAAAAACAACACTATGAACATGGACACAATATCTTTACCGTGTTCTGAAAAATTAAAATATTATATAAATACATACATGCAAGAAACTATTTCTTATTTAACAGTTAAAATATTTCATCCTTGAAAATGGCTACATGTATAGCCGAAAGAGCTCGGAAAAAAGAACATTCGTACAGTTTTTATATAATTTACCATCCAAAAAGAAAAAAAAATTATTAGTTCACATGAGAAATTGCATAAAAACTAAGTCAAAGCAGCCTGTCTGTCGTATTCAATGAAATGTGCATGAAAGAAGGATAGCTGCCTAAAGAAAAGGGGACGCTTAAAATTTCAATTTAATGTTTTGTTTTCTTTTGTTTTTATATGTGTTTTGGTGTATATATTCTAAACCTATTTCATTTAGATTCTTTTTCTTTTTTGTTCATCGTTCAAAAGTGATGGAAACATAATGCATGTCTGTCTCTCTATTAGATAGATAGATAGATAGATAGATAGATAGATAGATAGATAAATTTAAACAGATCACAAATGCTGATGTAAAAAATGACATCTGATAAATCAAAGGTTTATTCTGTAATGTCTATGTTTCATTGTAGACAGACGTATTAGCCTTAAAATCGATATAAGTTCCAGAAGGAAGAAAAGAAAGATAGAAACAAACAAAAAGCAAAGAAGAAAGCGTATAGAAAGTTTGATAGATTTTAAAGGTTAAATAAGGAAAAGAAACATAAATGTATGACGTTGTTTATGCCGAAATCAATTTTATGTGCTAATTCCTTGATAGCGATTATCGGAAAGTAAAATAAAGGGAAGGATGTGCTGTAAAAGAATTATGGAGAAGAAATGATTTTTGGCGACGTCTGCTAAGAAAATAAATATAGCAATAAGAAAGCCAACATAAGTCTCTTTGTCGCTTCTCATACGAAAGTGACAGGAATGGAGAATAGAGAATATACAGGGCGCAATGGATAAGTTGTCGTCTAAATTACGCGGAAAAGAAAATAACACCGATTACTCCAGACACTGCGATGGTGATTGGATATATCATCCAATTCTTTCTGAATCCTCTACACTATCCTCAGATTGACACCCAAATATTCTAATATTTCTCGTATTGGAACTTCCGGCGCAAATGCCAAGCAGTACAGCATGCCGTTTCCAAATTTATGGTGGAGTGAACTACGTCATGGTACTCTTTTTCTCACAGATGATGCCCAACTGACCCTACTATAATGTACAATCGACAAAATAAAATTAAAAAAACAACGCGCTGGCACAAAATTAAAAATATAAAATGGCGGCAATTTACCCATCGCACCCCTTATGTATAAAACATTAAGTAGCTATGAAAAACAACGATATGACAATGGGTATATCTAGTTCTCTCTCCCCCTCTCTTTCTCTCTCTCTCTCTCTCTCTCTGTCTCTATCTACCTATTTATCTTTCAGACTGACTCTCTTTCAATATATTTGTCACTCTCTTTCCATTTCTTCATCATTCTCATTTTCTTCACTCTTTCTCACACTGAATATCTTTCAATCTATTTCTTTCTTTTCGCTTTTATAACTCTCTTGTCATTTCTCTCTCTCTCACTCTTTCTCTTGATCCACATACAGACCTTTTTATTTCTCTTTTCGCTTATCTCTTTCTACTTTTCATACGGCGTTTATTTCTCTCCCTCTCACACCCTTTCTCTCTCTCTCTCTCTCTCTCTCTCTCTCTCTCTCTCTCTCTCTCTCTCTCTCTGTGTTCTTTTTTATTTTTATTTCCAATTTTGTATATTTTTCTTTTCCTTCATTTTTCCTTTTTTTTTATTTCTTTTATTGCATTTTTCATTTCTTTGTATTCAAATTTAACTTCTGTTACCGTCGCTTCTTTCTTTTCTTTCTTATTTTCGCCCCGACACCCTATCGATTTATTTCTTTTCTTTCTTTTCTTTACTTTCAACAATTTTCACGATGTCAGATTTTATTATGGAAATCAATGTTTTCACAATGAAAAGATTCTTAAACAACTGCTGTTAATAAAGTTTTCAGGGTATACTTATAAGAATTGTAATATCAATTTTTCTATTATAAATATTTAAAATAACTTATCTGGTGGCGTTAAATATATATATATATATATATATATATATATATATATATATATATATATATATATATATATATTACACATAATATCCTACGCCAATCGCACGATTCGAAGTTTCATGCAGTTCTTGAAATTTTCAGGTGCAAATATAATCTCATATTTATAATACCGCAGGAAGAAATATATTTATACGTACGTGCATGTATATGTGTGTTTATCTGCCCATTATCTTTCTCTCCCTCTCTCTCTCTCTCTATATATATATATATATATATAGAGAGAGAGAGAGAGAGAGAAAGAGAGAGGGGGAAAGAGAGAGAGAAAGAGAGAGGGGGAAAGAGAGATAATGGGCAGATAAACACACATATACATGCACGTACGTATAAATCTCTCTCTCTCTCTCTATATATATATATAGAGAGAGAGAGAGAGAGATAGAGAGATTGTGTATTTGAGGAGCAATCGCTCCTTCTTTATATATATATATATATGTGTGTGTGTGTGTGTGTGTGTGTGTGTGTGTGTGTGTGTGTGTGTGTGTGTGTGTGTACATGTTATTCCTCACCGGTAGTACGACTCAGAGCATAACGCAATAATAATTTTAATAAAAATATCTGGGTACCGGAATGTTGGCGCAGATATACGGGTATTACAATTTCTTATTTAAAAAAAAGATATTTGGGATTTCAAATGAATGGGATTTATATATATATATATATATATATATATATATATATATATATATATGTATATGTAAATATAAAAGTGGGCATTGAAATATATATGTATATGTATATAAAAATGGACATAAAAGTCAACACCCAGAGACAACAGTCTGTTTCATGCATAAATGCAATCAACAGGCCATATGTGTTGTGCTTTTGCTCGACTATTTGTATATACAGGTCAGTGATGCATTCTCAGTTGTCTACTGTATGGTACTAATGGTTATTTTGGGCTGACGATTGCGTTTAAGCATGAAACAGACTCTCGTCTCAGGGTGTTAACTTCAATGTCCACTTTTATGTTCATATATATATATATATATATATATATATATATATTTTATATCACACCATACATAATTTCTTCCATTGGAATCGTAAATACGATCCAATTCATCAGACCTACAAATTCAAAAAAAATTTGTAGGTCTGATGAATTGGATCGTATTTACGATTCCAATGGAATAAATTACGACCATGGAATATTAGTGTTTAAGCCTTTTATTATATCCTTACTCTGTCCTGGACATTGAGTTCTACCTGGATTCTATCCTCTTGGAATTATTTTTATACAAATATATATGTATGTGTATGTATGTATGTATGTATGTATGTATGTATGTATATTTATATATTTTAGATATATGATTGCATATGTATGTGTATATTTACCACTAATATATCTATCTATCTATCTATCTATCTATATATATATATATATATATATATATATATATATATATATATATATATATATATATATAGTTTTATATATGCAAATATATACAATTATAGTTACAATCAGAAAAAGACAGTCGAAATTTCTGGGACACATAAGAAGAAGGCTTGGAATATCTGACATACCTAGGACATATTAAAGACAAGAGGAAAAGATGTAATCAGCAAGTTTCCTCCTTGCGAATTTGTGTAAATGAGTGGCAGAACTGTGGAAAAACACTGGTACAACCTACAAATGATACGAAATTGTGGAGGGCCATGATCACCCACATCATGAAGTGGCATGGCACATAAAAGAAGAATACAAGGACTGTTGAAAACGTTGAATCAACTGAAGAATCATTCAATTTAAACGTTGCTTTCTGTCACTGAAATATCGCCAAGGCTTTTTTTGAGGGCGACTGTTTGATCGATCAATTTAAAATAAATAATGCTTATGTTTGTTAATTAATTATGACTGTTTTCTGTCAAAAAGCCACTTACAAAATAGAGATTAAATTAGATGAGTACAGATGCAAATCATTTCTTACACCGCGATGCAATGACTTTTGAGACGTACTCAGCAGCGGGTCGTTGTTATTGGTTCTTTTTTTGAACACTGACCAATACACGTTCTACAGGCGGACCGGACGTTTGCTTCCAAATCGTGGTTAGTCTTTTGCTGACTCGTACTACTGAAAACATTGAATCCACTGACCAATCATTAAATTTTTAGGATTTGAAGCATCGGCAGTGTGTCATTTGAGTGAGAGTACTTGATCGATGGATTTTTTTTTTAAATTCACCAATTTTCCTTTTTTGTCCAGTTGTGAATTTTTCCATATGTCAATTCCAAATGTTATTCTAAACTTTGAAGAGAAAAGATAAATTATTAAACAACCAAAAATAGAATTATTATGTCAATACTAAATGCCGGGATGGGCTTGTCGGAAATCCTGATTCTTTGTAAATTATCTTTGTTTCTTTACTATTTACTCTTTCTTTTTTTCTCATTTTTCATCCATTTTTCCCCTTTACTTTCTTACCATTTTTTGTTTCTCTTTCTTTTTTTTTCTATATTTCTTTTTTTCTTCTCATTTTCTTCCAAATTTCTCTCTTACTTTCTTACCATCTTTTCTTTCTTTTTCATTTTCCTCACATTTTTCTCTTTTACTTTCTTACCATATTACTTTCTTTCTTTCTTTCTTTCTTTCTTTCTTTCTTTCTTTCTTTCTTGTTCATTTTCCTTCTATTTTTCTCCTTCACTTTCTTATCATCTTTCTTTCTTTGCTTCTTCCTTTCCTTCCTCTTTTCTCTCTTTCTCTATCATTTCCTCCTATTTTTCTTCTTTACTTTCTTACCACCTGTTCTTTCTTTCTTTCTTTTTCTCATTTTCCATCCATTTTCTTCTTTACCTTCTTGCCAATTTTTTTCACGCTTTCTTTCTTTCTTCCTTTCTTTCTTTCTTTCTCGTTTTCTTTTCATTCTTTTCTCTTTTTAATTTCTTAATGTTCTATCTTCTTTTTATATAACCAATTTAATAGTTATGTATTCATTCAACTTTTAGTCTTTTTTACGCCATATAAATATGTCAAGAGAAAAGCATTTTTTGTTTCTCTACTTTTCTTTCTTTCTTTCTTTCTTTCTTTTTTACTTACTTATTTACTTTCTTTCATATTTTCTTTCTTCCATTCTTTCTCTCTTATCTATATAAATGAATGTGAATGTCAGTGTGTCACACTTTTTCACTTTTCTCCCAGAGGCTGTAGCCCAACATTTGAGAATCAGGCTGAGCAAATTAAAAAACATTCCCGGATGGATCCGGATCCACAATCCTGAAAGTTTGGATCGCCAAGTTTTCATTACTGTGATTGTTTTCGGCGATTTTTACGTGATTTTTTGCGACTAATTCTTAACAATTTTTATAACTTTGAAATAAATTTGGGAATAATTAAAAGTAATTGCAAAATCCAGCGAAAGTCACCAATAAAATAAAAATAATTGTTTGTACGGAAAGTAAGGATCTACGTACATCAAATTGTCTTTAAATTAAATGAAGGCAGAATAATTATCTTTGAACTTTTCAAAGGCAAGCTTAAATATTAATGCAGCTATCAATTTTGAGTTCTACTGTAGTTTATTGTTGCATATCGCATACGGCAGCAGTATGCCTCTCAATATACTAAATCTAACAGAGGATCAAATTGCAATGAAAAGAGCCAAGGCAGCAGCGAGGAAAAGAAAGCCGGGTGCAAATGAAAACCCAGATCAAACAAGAGTCAGGAGAGCTTCCAATGTTGAGAATATACAAGGACTTAAAGACACTCAACCTCCTGAACAAGCCGAAGGCCCAATGAAAAGATATCCGCAAGAGCTAGCTTAAATGCCGCCCGATAAGGCGGCGTTTAAGCTAGTAACTTATAATTTTTCTCCTTTCTTTTATTCACTCTGTTCTTTTCTTTCTTTTTTTTTTTTTTTTTTTTTTTTTTATTTTCCTGGGAATCTCTTTTCCTTACTTTCTTCTTTTCTCCTTACTTTTCTTCTTTTATTTTTCCGAATGTCGTTATTTTCCTCTATTTTACCTTCCTTTCTTTATTCGTATATTTATTTATTTTCTCAAATACCTACTTCGATGTTATGACAGCGTAACTTTTTACTGGCGCGTAAAGTGAAAATGGCGAGTCGCGTTGAAATGTCGCTTGATTCCTTGTCGTTCAATTTTCCCTAATGTCATTGATAAAGGCATGAATCCATTTTCCTCCATCTATGACTTAAAAAATAGCAGGCAGACTGTGTTTCTCTTGCCCTGGCGTGGCAACTAGTTTAGTTGACGGAAAAGCGCCTGATTAAGATATTTTTCCCTAGATACATCATTACTGTTACCGCCCTAACGCACTCGTCCTGAATATCTACAATTTGCCATGTATTTCCTTTCGTTTTTCTTTTTCAAACTATTTTATCATTTTTTGCGTTTCTTTCTTTTGTCTCGACTGCCTACCCCTTTCCATATCAATTTACTTTCTTTTCTTTTTATCATTCTCTGATTTTTTTTTCTTTCATTCTTTCTTATTTCTTCTCACAAAGTTACTTATTTACTTATTTTCGTATATCTACGTTTTCTTTATCTCTTTTTCTTTATTTTCTCCTATTTTTTTTATTTCTGTCTCTTTCTTTCTTATTGCTTCTCATATACTTGCCATTTTCTACACCATTTACATTATTCGGTCTATTTTCCTCATCTTTGTCGCCATATTTATTACAACGTTTCGAAACGTTGTAATAAATATGGCGACAAAGATGAGAACCATAGTCCGAATAATATAAATAGTGTACATAATACCTCATCTCAGAAATATAGACAGATACTGAACGGCCGAAACGTTGTAATAAATATAGAGACAAAGATGAGGACAATAGTCCGAATAATGTAAATAATGTACATAATACCTCATCTCAGAAATATAGACAATTGCTATTTTCTTTATCACGTTTTCTTTCAACATGTTTTCTTTCTCTGCTTTTCCTTTCTTTCTTTCTTTCTTTCTTTCTTTCTTTCTTCTCGTATAGCTACCTTTTCCTTATCTCTTTTTCTTTATTTTCTCCTATTATTCATTTCTGTCTCTTTTTTTCTTTATTTCTTTCTTATTGCTTCTCATATATCTGCCACTTTTCTTACCTATTTTTCTTTCTTTTCGTCTTATTTTATCTTTCTCTACTTTTGCTTTCTTTCTTTCTTTCTTTCTTTCTTTCTTCTTGTTTTTTCTTTATCTGTCTTTCCCTGTTCTTTAATATATTTTTTATCTCTGTCCTCAACTTTCCTTTTTTTTCCCCTCAACATTTCTTTTTGTTTTATTCACTTTCTCCAACCTTCTTATCTATTCACTCCGAACTGAATCAAACACCATTAAAATGTCTTTAAAATACCATTTCTAAAGTTATGTTGGCGTAATCGTATTAAAACGAGGAGCTTTATTCGAAAGCGCTCTGTCATTAAAATACTCGAGGAAGTTAGCTTAATATAATCTTATGTTTTCTTTGATAAAAACGGTCACTGTTGAAAAAGGAAAAATGTTCCTTTTATTGATTGTTACTTTTAAAAAGCTACAATCAATCACAACTTATATTCCATTTAACTGATTTTAAAAATAACAAAGTGAATATTTCACAATAATATTCGAAATCTCTTACCCTGATTTAGAGACTTTCGTAAACAAATAAGCTGATCAGTTTTACCTCCAGTAATCCATTTGCTGAGGAAATATCAACCAGACACTAAATTTAGCCCTGATTTATTTAAAGAACTCTTAGTTTAACGATTGCGTGGACAATAGTCTGATTCGTATTTATTTTATTTATTTAAATTCATTCTTTAACTTGTATCCTCCTTCGTCAGTTTAAAAAGACGCCTTCTTTTTTTCCATATATGGCGGCCATTTTGCTTAAACTTTGTATTTCTTTTTGTAACATCATGTTAACTTTTATATATGTGATAAACGGACATCTTTTTTCCCCATATATCTAAACTATAGTTATAAGGTATAATTTAAGAAAGCGGAAGTTTCACTGAAATATTTTAGAAAGTTTCCAAGTTTTTGTCTGAAATCAAGAAAATAGGAATTTTTAGCAAAACTGTCATAATATATAATATAAAAAAGACATCAATTTGAACGATATCCTCTTTGCGTCAGTTTAAAGCAATGTTTCCCAAATTTTTATCAATCAGCGCTTCCCTTGGGCACAAATATTTTTGTCATAACACCACCCCCGCCGCCAAATTAAATTTCGAATATTATACTGAATTCATTTTTCATAACATAATACTTAGGTGTCAGAGCAAAAATAATTTTAATAGTGTTTTCATTTCTATTATAAATGACAATGATTAAAATGGTAAAAAATTCCCTTTTGTTTAATATTTTATCTCAATGTTTTCAATGCGATGGTCGACTTTGGTGCTTACTGGCTAAGTCTCTTACTCTAGGCTCCATGTTGCTTCGAAATAATCGTAGATTTCCTCGTTTTGTAATTTCCAGGAGGTTTCTTTGTTTAGTAAGAAATTGTGTAACTGCGTTGAAATCACATTCAGCCATATAGGTAGTTGGAAAAGCAGTGAAGAAAAGTTTGCTAGATTCGCACAGCTTTAAAATATTTTCAGAAATTTAATTTTGTAGCCAATATTGAATAATTTTTGAAAATTTGATAAAAAAAAAATGGATAAATAACCATTACCCACTGGGTATGTTCACCGCCCTTTAAACGTTATAAAAAAAATCCCAGTGCCTTCTTTCAACAGAACAGAGTCCCCCAATAGAGAGCTAGCTTTTTTTCCCGGGAATCTGAACTCTCATTATAAAGTATAATTTCGGAAACTGAAAATTTCTGTGAAATTTGCTGTAAATTTTACAATCCCTAGTGTGAAGTCAAGAAAATATGAGATTTAAGCAAAATAAATGTTCCTAATATATGTAAAAAAAAAAGAAGTCCGTTTAAACCAATGTTTTCCCACTTGTGGGCTCTGTTATATTAAAAGGAGACACTGGGAGGTTAATTTGACAGGGGAGCATTGACAAAATGTTTATGCAAAGGATATAAATTACAGAATGTAGGCAATCACTTCAGATTAATTTAACGTGTATGTAGATATGCTATTATAGCACTCATAGTTATGCATTGAGTGTGAGAACCCATCAAAAGGCGCCCGGTGAGAATCAAACTCACCATTATGCTCAATGGGCTGAGCTCGATATTAAATTACCCTAAAGTGTCTATATATGCCACATAATTATAAATATTATTATTTTCTGTGCGGCGTTCTTTCTAGGCATGGGCAATCATGTCTCTCCACAAATCTCTGTTGCTCTGAGTAAGCATTAACCTTTACTCTCCCTATTTGCACTTGTTCTGCCATCAATTCCCACAAACTCCGCTATCAATTCATATTATCATGCACATCTTTGGGCCTTTCCTTAAACCGCTTGTACCACTCATTTTCCGCCAACAGTATAACATGATCACGTAAAATTCCTTCTACTAGTCGGCAACGAATGACTCATCTGTTCTGAGTCTCCTAGCCACACTAAGGAGCTGTGATACAGTGAAACACTCTGTCTGTGGATGACTATATATAGCTCTCTAGGGAAAGGAGTTTTAAAAAAAACAGCGGCTCCTACTGTTATTAAGCATTACTCTTCAAGTAACTTGAATTGAGTTCTCCCAGCCGCTGGCGTATTCCGTATAAGGAAAACGTTAAAATTCCTTATCTGTAGGATTTATTTTGTCGCTTACTTTTTACAAGACTTTGAATTATGAATTTGAATTATGGCACTGTTGGGCCTCCACATGTTTTGACTGATCTTTCAACTACCTGATGAATATTCATGAACATTCTCAAATGTAAAAGCCTCGTCTTTTTATTCGTATATATGTGTGTGTGTGTGTGTGCACGTGCGTGCGTGTGTGTGTGTATTTCAATTTTCTCAAAAGAATAAACATTTCTCTTCTATTAGGCACCTAAGTGCATATATATATGTGTGTGTGTGTGTGTGTGTGTGTGTGATATGCGTGTGTCGACCCAGTACTTTCTGAGCGACTGTTCGGTTGAACTCTCTTCCTACGGGCGGGAGGAACCCGAAGGAGGCTACGCCGAAGGGCGGAGTCTCCTTCGGGGAGGTAAAACCGGCCCCGAACCCGTTTATACGGGTTCAAACGGGCATATTTTGGGGCCGAGCCCACGGGCTCGGGAATCCCACAATAAAAAACCGACCTTGTGTCACATGTTGCCCCAGTGGGAGGGAGACTCAATATCGTGATATGCGTGTGTGCGCACGCACTTGTGTGTGATATGCGTGTGTGCGCACGCACGTGTATTGTGAACAGGAGCTGTGCATTTCGTAAATAGGGAAATTGAAATTTGCCTGACTCTCAAAGTCTTCCATGGCTGAGCGATCTGAAAAGGCGACCTGCTGAAACGCTGTTTTCCCCTACAAGATGGACACAGAACTGAACACTATCGGGAAGACGTTTATTTTTTTGTTTTTTGTTTTTTGTTTTTTTTTATTGTGACTCTCAGACGTTCAGCCCATTAGACATAGATTTAAAAAAAAATAAAAAACGATATCTACTCAAACATTTGTATCAAGTGGATATAACGCTTAAAGTCGCAATATAATCTTCATAAGTCTTGTCCTTTACATCATTTTTCATTGACTGACTAGAACAATAATTTTATCCCCCAACCATATATGGAGCCGTAAAAAAAAACGATTAATACCTGACATTCTTAATTCACATGATTTGCGTCATCTACTGGAGGTGGAAAGTTTTTCTTACGAGTATTTTATGGACAATATTTTCTTAAATCGCTAGGTCGAGATTTTATATGGATGTCTTAACATGACACCAAAATCATTCAGAAATATGTTTGTGATATCAACGAACACTCGTTTGACACTTTTGGTAATGTCAACGAATACTCGTTGTCACTTTTTTAATGCTCGTTGTAGTAGAGCCTTTGTAATCGCAGATACAACTATAGTAATGCCGTTAAACCATACTGGTGTTAGACGCCTTCGAATAGCACTAGTACTAATAGAACTTGCTCGATAATTCTCGCTCGAATAGTAATCCGTATAGTGATTTGAATAGAGAAAAAGTATAGTGAATAGTGTAGAGAATAGCGGTCCGTATAGTAATAGGGGATAGAGTAGGAATAGATATTAATCTAGACGTCACGCAACTTCTTATTTATACGTTTCCTCTATGGTCACGTGGTCTACTTAATTCAATAATGGGATCGTCTGTGTTTACTCACTGGCGATCTATGTTCAAACTCAAGTGTCGCCGCGACATTTTATTCCTATATAACAAATATATAAACCGCCAGCTCTGTAGAACCGTTTTAATGATTAACAATGGTTTCGAATGAATTAAATTTTTAGTCGTAGAGGGGACCATACTGATTCAAAGCTCGTGGAATAGCGTTCCGGAATCGTAAACACATAACGTCACCAAATAACAGAAACAACATCACGTGAGTATTTTAAACAGAAGCAACAATTAAAATGAATGACATATGTAACAAGAAGAAAAGATAATGGCATCATCAAGATGTTGACGTTCCACACTTCTTCAAACAAAAAGTTCGAAAAGAAACCACATAATTACTGGAAAGAGCGATAACACATAGTGGACTTGAGAAAGCTATTTTCCAAACAAAAACATTGTTTTCATTGAAAGATTTTATAAATTTCAAGCGACAGTAGCACTGCCTGTTCGATCAATGAACGCCGAATGTTTCCTCATAAGGAAACGGTTGATATTATCATGACCATTTTGGATGTCACAGATTCTAGTCTCTTCATTTCCAGAACGATATTCCTAAGACAATTCTTGTTGATAGCACCAGGAGAATTCATGAACGCTCACTGATCTAAACCTTTAAGTTTACCAACCAATAAGTGCAGATCGATACCGCAATCAATATTTGAGCACAAAGATGAATATTTATCGCTACAGGTATATTTATTGATTATGCACACACGCGCTCGCGCACACAAACACACACACACACACACACACACACACACACATATATATATATATATATATTATTAACTGTTACATTAGAACATGTTCTACTCTTGTATTGAGGCCTTTTTTAAATTAATGTTATGAACGTTTGAATTTCTTTTCGTTCTTTGACATTTGGATTATATATATACATATATATTTGGATATATATATATATATATATATATATATATATATATATATATATGAACAATAAAAAAATATTAAAATCTTCAGATACACTGGGTTGTAGATTAATATTCTTTCGTTTTTTTTATTATTTCATTTATATTCCTCGACTAGTTTCGTCCAAAATGGCCATCAT